AAGGTGGCACATCATCAGCTCCACCTGCAGGGGCTCTGCACAAGACTCAGGGAGAACACCCGAGTCCCAGCAGTCACCTGGGCAGGGCCCTGCCACAGCAAGGAGACAGCACACTGGGTCTGACACTAACACACTTTAGATCATGACGAAATGCTCTTCTCTGGCATCAGGGGTCACGGCTAAGGTGACTTGCCAGCTGTCCACATCTTGTAAGTCACACATGCATCACAGTCAAGTGTCCTTCCCCACATCTTACCTTCAATGATCGCATTTTTAATGGAATGAGTGGGGCTGGGGATTTGGCTCAGCGGTTGAATGCTTGCCTAGCAAGCTGGAAGCCCTGGGTTCGGTCCTCGGCACCAAAACCAAAAAATAAACCTCCTCTAATGGAAATGAGTGCTGTGTTGAAGGTCCCTCTGACATTCAGTGCTTTACAGAAGCACCTATACTTGATAACACTGGGGGGAAATTAACAAATTGTTCTAAATGCCTATGACATTTAAGAAAGTTGTTGCTTATGTGTAAATGAAATAATACAGTACACTCACACATGAGGCAAGCCCTAAAGACACGAAAATGGGACAGTGATGAGCATCTGCAGTTGAGGGAGGCCCCTGAAATTCTGTGACTCTGGATTTGAGGGGATAAATCAGGAAGAGACTGCAGATTACACAGCACTCTCTAAAAGCCCAAATATAAGCTGGTACCACTGGGAAGGAGCAAGATGAGAATGGCTGGAGAGGGTGCCCGGTCTACTTGGAGGGAAAAAGAGGGCAGTGCCCGGAAAGGGCGTCCAGTCCATGAAGCGCAAGGGTTGTGGTAACCTGGGGTGTGTGGGCCCTGCCTGTGCAGCACACAAAGCACTCCGCTTTCTGCTCTTAAATGTAGGTATCCTGACATTACTCTTTCTTAAACTGATCAAGGGTCCCAAATGCTGATGGCTTTTTAGGCTCTGAGAGGTCAGCATATGTGGTACCTTACGTGGACCTGTGGATTAGGACTTCCTAGGCATTCTTCTGCTTTCATGCATTCACCCATGAAGTTTTGAACATCTGCTTACAGCTGTATTCTGGGGTGCTGTGTGTCTCAGAGACAGTCCACACTTAGGGTCCAGAGCTGGGGCTCCAGAATTCTGCTGCCACTTCTGAGCTGTATGCCCCACAGTGAGTCCCACTGGGATCTGAGTGACCACCTGGGAAGGATGCTGTGGGTGGACAAAATCTTCCAGCACTGAGGCCTGGCACACAGTCAGCGTGTGAGAAAGAGGCCAGCTACTCTCACGGAGTTACAAACACAGTGACACAATGGTGCTGGATGGGGATGCAGGTGCAATTTTGCTGGCTCCTCCCTTGTCTGTGTCAGTTTTTAAAAATAGAAGGTCACACCTTCCACGTGTATCCTTAAATCACATTACTTTAAATGCTTGCCCTTACGTTTCCACTCTTGATTTTTACAGGGATCCAAACAAAACTGAGACTAATGAATAAAAGGAAACATAAAGAAAAGGCAGCAAACACACGATGAGGCCGTAACTAGCTACAGACACGCAGACTGGAACGGCTTATCTGTACACCTGGGTTAGGTGTTGACAATAACTCACTACGACTTCATCATGAGAGTACTTAAGTGCCAACTTAAAAAGCACTTAGGTACTTGTGAATCAAGTTAGTTGTCAAGTAACAGCCTTGTCTTTAAGAGCTCCCAGTCCTCTGGGAGCCACCAGCCACATTCTGTTGTCACTTGGAAGGTAGGTGTCTTCAGCAACAATGACAGCTACGATTAGTTTCTTCCTCCCAGTACCACCTCCCAGGCCGCATTTGGAGATGCAGTAATGTACTTCAGAAGAGCCCATGGCCCAGTCCTTGTGTGGGCTCCTCGCCTCCAATATCAGGCTTTACGTACCTTGAGACATGGCTAGCAGAGCTAGAGTCAACACTTGTTACGTATTTGTGTGCTGTGAATTTGCTGGGGTCTTACCTGCATAAATAACAGTGGCTCTGATTTTCTGTAAATGATGTTGGTGGATTATTTACTATATATGAACACCTTGCTTTTCTCCATTTATACAATCTTTTTGATATTCTAAAATCACTTGCAAAATAAATTCATTCTCTAAGAACTAGAAAATAGATTCTTCTGAAAAGTTTTGTAAGAGGTAAAGTGCCAGCACACAAAAGAGACAGACAAGAGAGGGGACTAAAACAGCCGGAAGTGGAAATGACAAAGATGCCGGCTGGCTCTTGAGGTAGAGGGCTGCCAGGGCAGGAGGCAGGAGAAGGGAATGCAGGGGGTGGCAGACTCAAGCTCCCCTGAGGTCTGCATCCTGGCGAAGGTGGGTGCAGCATCCGGTCCTCCGCCCCTGGAGTAGCTGGAGTAGCTCTCAAGTTCCTCGTGGCTCTCTCCCTGCCGCACTATTCATCTCTCCCAGTGCAGCCACAGCCAGAGGAAGACACGCTAACGAGGGAACTCAGGCAGCGTGCACAGGTACGCTGGGTCACTCCAGGAGAGGGGAACAAAATCCAAATGCACTGAACGCAAGAGACTTCAGATGATCCCAGCTATGTGACACAATGGCAACTGAAGGGAAATTATCTAAATCTCTCTAAACCTTAATTTTTTCATTTCTAAATGGGACAGCAAGGCTTCGGCACACTGTTATGGTGACAATTAAAAGACACTGGGTACATAAAGCACTTAGCCCCTAGTATCTCATATGAATATTTCTTTTTTCCTTGTTAACTTTAAATTTTAGCCTAGGTTCTTTGAAGTTACGGATATCTCTTATTTATCTTTGCTTTTTCTGAACTGCAGTGCATTACTGCATCTCCAAATGCAGCCTGGTAGGTGTTACTGGGAGGAAGAAACTAATTGTAGCTGTCATTGTTGCGGAAGGCACCTACCTTCCAATTGACAACAGAACATGGTTGGTGGTTCCCAGAGGACTGGGAACTCTTAAAGACAAGGCTGCAGTTTATTAACTTTTTTATTAATTTAAGCTTATTAATTTTTTAGAATACCTCACCCAAACTTTTATTTATTTATTTATTTTTATCAAATAGTGGAAGATTAGATTACAATTCCAGGCAGATACTGCAGAATCCAAAAAGTAATCAACCAAACTAGCATTCCCTACGCAAATCCCTACATGAGGTAGGTGTAACTCAGGCTCGCTCTCTCTCTCTCTCTCTCTCTCTCTCTCACACACACACACACACACACTTTTCTCGTAGCCACATTTGTGCTGATGAATGCAAAAGACGAGCGAGGAAGGAGCTGTCTTTTGCTTTCCTTTTACTTACTATTGTTGGAAAGACACTATTTTTTATTTTATTTGATACAGGGTCACTATGCAGCTCAGACTTGTAGTGATCTTCCTGTCTCAGCCTTCCCAGTGCTGGGATTACAGGCATGCACCACCATGCCTGGTTTCAGGACCAGCACTGCGCTCCTAGAGTTCTGAGGCCAGCACAGCATGTGTACCAGGGATTGAACCTGGGTCCTTGAGCTTGCCAGGCAGGTGCCTGGATGGCCGAGCTATCTCCCCAGCCATGGCACTATTTTTTAAACAAGCTTTCTAAGTCTTATTTTAAACTGATCAATGAAGACTCAAGAGGTGAAAAGGGTAGTGCTCACGGGATTATATACTTACATTGTTGAAATTACAGTATCACCCACACACTGGCTCTTAAATATTTCAAGTTGATAATGGATCGTGCTTAATTCTTGGAGACAGATGTTTCTGCCTCTACTGGTGTCAGTAAGCTACCTTTTTCTATAAAGCCAGCAATGATGATACCTATTTCCATGTACTCCTTTCTCCAGCACGAAACCGCTGTCCTTAGGGGATTGGCAGGTTGTTTGTACCAGGCACAGGGCACTTCCACAACACCAGTCACCTGGAAGCTGTGAAAACTTGCAATGTGGCAGCTGCACCCTGGGGAGAGCACGGCTGAGAGAACTGGTGATGTCCACAGCATGGGAGCCCACCACGGGTCACCTTTTATACAATTTCCCCCCCCCCCCAGGTTCTTAAAAAGTCTCATCCTACAACAGTTAAATAAGTTAGTCAGTAAACTCTAAAGTTTAAATTTCCTAAAATGTAGGTGGAAGCAAATGACTTCTTGATACTTAAATGACTCGCTCGCCTTAGCTGACCTTCTGGAAAAACCTCACAGCTTCTTCATCTGTTTCTAAAAATTCTCGGAGGACCCTTCCCCAAAGTGGATTAATGTTTTGAGCCACACCAGCTCATTTTACTATGCAAATGTGCTCCTGGGGGCCAGACACGCTGTTAGCAGGAATGTTTGGTCTGCACTGGACAGAAGACAGCACCAGCAGGAGCAAGTGTGTGAAGAACACTCCCAGGTGCAAGAAGTGTGTGCAAGTGTGTGAAGAACACTCCCAGGTGCAAGAAGTGAACTGGAACAGCGGCTGAGACAAAGAAATGCTCTAGCACGCCTCCCCCCCGGAACAGAGGAGACAGAGCAGATGCAGGCAACCATGACCCGAGTCCAGCCTGCACAAAGCCGGAAGCCAGGCCTTCACGGTGCCAGGAGTAAGGAGAGAGCACAGAAGGAGGCACTGGAGCGCAACTGCCCTCGATGGCGCTGCTCTTTTTTGTTTCTATCAAAACTCCTGGGCTGTACAAGTGGGCCAAGCTGTATTTTAGTCATGAATCTTATTTCCAATTTTGTTTTGGTGTTGACCTTTGCATGTTAATTAGGTTTGCAGCGAACTGAATTACAATGTATGCATCCTTGTTGGTGTATTCAGATAAGCACATGTGCAATGGCAAAATAAAAACCACTCTATCCTCATTTTAAATTTGCAACATTTCCCCGAAATGATGAGTCTGAGATACATAATAAATTCATGTGCAACCAGTAACAGCATGAAACAGACATTATGTCTGAGTAAATAAAAAAACAAACAAGAACACACTGGCAGAAATTTCTCAGACGGGAGACTTTTGCCAGACTCATTAGCACGAGCAGGCCTACCTTCACACACAGGGCAGCACTCCCCGGGCACCTTCACGGGGCGCACGCAACTCTGCCCGCAGGCTGTGGCCACACAGTGCGGCTCGCCGCTGATGCACTGGCAGAAGGTGCAGTCGTCTTCCCGCCACCGGTCTCCATGGGCTCGGATCTGGCCATTGGCATAGCAGCCAGCAGGGTTGTTGAAAGGATACACCGGATCTAAATCAAAACACAAGTTCAGAGTAAGGCTGAGCACTTCCTAGAGCTCAACTCTGCCTGTGCTTAGAGACGTGTTTTCCTCCAGGATTTATTCATCAATAATTCTATTCCACCTGTGAGCAACAAAAGCCGAGAGTTACACAGGTGCTCCCTGCAGCGCATGCGAACGCAGCTGCCGTGCCCAGGAGGCGCTTTCTTCTCCCAACACTGTCTCAGGGAGGAGAAGCTGCAACCTGAAAGGCAGCGCGCAGATGTCAGCAGTAAGGCAGCACGTGGCCTGTAATCCCAGCACTTTTGGAGACTGAGGGAGGAGTTTTTAAAAGTTGGGAGGTTTTATGGATAGAGCTGTGGGCACCTGATCCATTCTGGGCTGTGACAATGTCTTCTGAATGGGTGACTGAACTGTCACACCTGCACTTACTACCCGTGAAAGAATCCTGTCCCACTGACCCCAGAGTGATGCTGTGACTGCTACATGCACTCATTTTTATAGTCATGTGGCTCCAGGTGGACAACAGGGGTCTGAGCAGGGCCTGGCTATAGCCGTGCACACGAGAAGGCTGGTTTAGACATTCCCTGGGTCACAGCTGATGTCGTGGAGGGAGACTGCGAATTCAGATCATTTTTCTTCCCATAAACTTGGCAGCTGAGTAGCAAACAAGTTTGGGGGACAGAATTATCCAAAGCTACTCTAAAATAGATTTTCTAGGAGCCAGTGGATAAAAGTGTAAATACTGTGCACAAAATCTCCAAGCATCCCTACAGCGAGAGCAACCAGATACAATTACTCCATTTTCTTTTATGAAATACATAAAACTGGCTTTTACCAAACAAGCACTGCTGTGCAGGGAGGAGCATCCAGAGTTGCACAGCTTTGTCTTTGTACTAAGAAGGGAAGAGAGAATTGTCAGAAGGCTAGAAGGCCAAAATTCAAAATAACGGAATCACAGCTTTCGAGGAGCAATTTGCCAGACGGAAATCACTACTAGACCTGAGCTAGATGGGATGAGACATTCTTTCTGAAAAATGTTAACAGTGTGCACCTTACATGTACTTTTGAGCCTGAATATGAATTCAAATACGTGAAACCTAGCCAGATCCATGGCCAGATAACCCACTTTGGAAAGGTTAAATTTCTGATGTATTTTTAAAAATCTGATGCCATCTAAAAAGTGAGCTACTTTTCTCCTGTGTTGGTGAAAGTATTTTTTTTAACTAGGAAAAAGATTCATTATTATACACAGCTGCTCAATGTTAGGCTGTTTTCATACTGTACACATTTTAGGCCTTTAATATTAAATGGTAAATACAGCTCAAATATTAAAATGTCAGGAAAACTACAAAAAAATACAGAAACTGAAATGATACTGCACTCCTACTTGTGTGCAATGATTGGGCACAAGAAAAACATATGACTCTGGACTGAAGATCGGTGACAAAAAGGTTGACAGTGTCATCCTTTCCAGGGAAACTACAGGCTCATTAAGCCCAGGAGTATGTTTCCTGGTTTCACCGTAAACTCGCATAAGTGAGTTACTTTGCTGAGGCTATTCCTAGTCCCTAAAATGGGTAGGCTGCAGTGGATGATGGTCAGTGGTGTTGTGAAAAGTTTATTATTTATGACTATAGAGACAGGAAGACAAAGTGCTCTGGAGGAATATGAGAAGAATAATTCTGGAAGAGAAGTGGGCAATGTAGATAACACAGGTCCATGAGTGTCAAATCTGATGCCTAGGACCACACATCTCATCGGCTGGGCCTAGAGTGGTGTCACTGTCGCACTACTCTGAAATCTCACTCTAACCATCACAGGATTTCAAGGAGGAGCAGCAGGATCCTGGCTCATGTGGAAGCAGGTGAGGTGGCTAGCGCTAAAGAGGGACGGCTGCTCCTAGAGTTGACTGGCTGAATGTGTTAGTGACCTGGGCCCTCCTATCTTATACTCTGAGTCATCTGAGGGAAATTCCACGCCAGAGAGAAGCAAATGTCTGCTCCAGGACTTGCTAAGGAACTGATGGAATGGCAGGGGAAGAACAGAAAGCAATTCTGTGAAGCCTCACATAGACTTGTGGGAACAGGTGACTAGCTGTCAACACCCAAGGTGTAGCAGCTTCCTTCAGGGAAGACTTTTCACATACACTACCTGGCATTGTTAACATTCTGAAAGTCAGGAAACGATGTTGTTAAAAAAAAGTACTTTAATATTGCTCTACTTTTGAATGATACTGAATGGGGGCCATTTGGATATTAAGCTCTGAGCCATGTATTCCCATATTGACCTTGACTTGGCACCTTCTCCTACCTTCACACACAGGGCAGCACTCCCCTTCAGGCACGTAGTATCTCTCACAGCTCAGCTCCCCACACTGGGCAGTGAAGCAGATGGAAACGCCTCCTTGGCAACGACAGAACCGGCAGTTGTCCATTCGAAACATGTCGCCATCGTAATACTCCACATTGTTGAATATGCAGGCTGGCTTTGTTTCTGAAAGGAGTCAGACAAGGCACATTTGAAGTCATTTTTGAGCGGTAGCCTTTTATGCTTTGCCAGCAGCTTCTAGAAAACTCTCTGATAGCAGAAGTTACAATTTAATGGAAATTTACTAAACTTTAACTTTCTTATAGAAGAAACAAAATAAAATAAAACAAAACAGTTATTCTGTTTACAGAATGGAACTAAAATTCCTTTTAGTAAACTCTATAATGACTTTCTCTTAGCCTAACTAAAGGTACCTTGAATGGCCATGGACTTCACCTATCTGATACACGCTGCAAAGAGAGTAAACTTGTTTCACGAAGTCATTCTCTAGGCCCCAGATGATCCTATTTCCATGTCAGGTTTGGTTCTGCCTCAAAAAATTCATAGGACATTAGGGGTCATGATAGTTCTATGTCTCTGGTATGCTCTCCTAAATTCTGTTTTCTACCTGGTTTAATAATGTATAATTTTAACAGTTCTTGGCCTTTAGCATACATTACCCCATTTACTCTCAGAGCAAAGGTCTAACTAATGTAGGTATTACAGTATCACCCTGAGTTTAGAAGTGAGGAAATCCTACTTGATTTGCTTAAAAGCACTCATTTAGCAATGACAGAAGCAAAAGCTCTGGCCTGTTAAGCTTGTGCTCCATCATGTTTCAAAGCTATGTTCTTCTGAGGACACACAATGCCACATTTAGAACTCTCAGCATGATACTAATGATTTTCAATTTTTCTCTGACCTGAAACACTCTCCAACTTCATTCTTTATCTCTTAATTTGATTGTTTTAAAATAACTCCAACTAGGGCCAGAGAGAGAGAGCTCAATGGACTAAGCACTTGCTTAGGCGAGCACAGGGGTTAGGGTTAGATCCCCTCACCACATGCCACGCCAGCCTCGTTCCCAGGCATGCAGAGCTGGCCACCAAGACAGGGCATAGTGGCGCATGCCTGTAATCCCAGGGTTGGGAGGAACACTATGAGTCCGAGCTGCGTAGTGAGACCCTGTACCAAATACATAAACAAAAATACTCCAACTAGACAAAGTCATTGGAAGAAAAGAAAACACTACCTCTTACAAATATAAACATAAAAATTCTCAAAGAAATTACTAGCAGGCTCAGAAATACTATTACATCTGATTTTTGACAAGAGTGGCAAGACAACTGAATGGGAAAAAAATCTCCAACAAACGGTGATGGGGTGACTGGATCTCCACCCCCGCCCCCAAATGGCAATGAAGCTCCTCTGTCTCACACACACAAATCATGGGGCGTGCTTTTAATAGCTACACGTGCAGAAATTTTACAACACAGAAGTAAAACTTTGTGACCTTAGGATAGGTAATGAATTCTTAGATATGACAAAAAAGCATAAACAATGACAATATAGCAAAAGTAGGTAAACTGGACTTAATCTATTTTTGTTCTTCAAAAAAGACATCACTGAAAAAATGAAAAAGACAACCCCCCAGATTTGGAGAAAGGATTTTCTAATCATATCTCATAAAGCTATAACTCAACAGTAAAAATAACTCAGCTGAAGAATGGGAAAACATTTGAACAGCTGTTTCTAGAAATGGCAATAAACACATTAAAAGATGCTCAACATCATCATCTAAAGGGAGAACACAAACGAAAGTCACGACTTCACACCTACAAGGATGGCTGCACTCAAGAAGACAGGTAGTAACAAGTGTTGATGAGAACAGATGGGATTCTCACGGATGGCTAGTGGTGACGTGGAAACACAGTTGTGGCAAACAGGCTGGCAAGCCCTCAAAATATTAAATAGTCACCCTCCACTGAAACAATTTGACTCCCAGTCATCTATCCAGGGAATCAGACACATATTTCACATAAAAACTTGTACATAACATTCAAAGAAGCATTATTCACAAAAGCCAAAGGAGGAAAACAACCCCGTGTCCACTAACTGATACACAGATAAATAAAAAGTAGTATATCCGTGCAATACAATGTTACTTGGCCATAAAAAGACTAAGTTTTGAAATATGCTACAAACTTCGAAAATACTGTGTTGAGTGGAAGAAGCCAGGAACTAGACTATGTATTACACAAAATACATAATTTATTTTATATAAATTACATAAACTTGACCTATATAAAATATCCCTATAGGCATATTAGACCCATCTATAGAGGCAGAAAGTAGATTAGTGGTTGCTTGGGGCTGAAGATGCTGGGGGGATGGGAAATGAATGCTAACAGTTTAAGCAATTTGGGAAGGTTGTGGGTGAAAATTATTCTAAAATTATAGTGATGGCGGCACATCTATGCATATACTAAAATCTTGGTGAATGGCATAATCTGTGCCTTAATAAAGTTACTATAAAGTACTCTGAAGCTGAACAAAGTCCTGTGCTGATCCATCTCACTCAGTCAGGTAGGAAAAGCTACAAGACAATATTCACATGTTTCATGAGCTCCCCTGTCTTCTCCAGAGTTCTTACTGTATAACCCTCAATATCTAAAATACTTTCAGAAACCTGCACTACATTTTAAATGGAGTATGTATTCACACTGAACTTAAAGACAACCACTTTCTCATTTGATTTTATAACCACCCTGCTGGGAAGAAGGAGCAAGTAAGACAGATAGTAATATTTGTTTATTTTGTTTGTCTAAATATATATTATATATGTTGTCTTTCAATGAGGAAAGTAAGGTGGAGTGAAAGCAAAATTGTGTGTGTGTGTGTGTGTGTGTGTGTGTGTGTAACTGTGAGGTATATGCTTAGGCCTCTTAATGCTGTTGCATGTATTCTTTTTTTCAGACAAGTAAGTTTTGTTAAAAAGCATCATCTTCCTGTAGCTCAGGATCCTTCTACATACTTTCAGTCAATGTAGTTACCTGAACTGGGACTAGAAGGAACTGTGGAGCTAGACCACAAATTCCAAAACTGTAAGAGAGGAAGTGATTGTATAAATCAAACTTGCGTGCCACAGAGTGAAGTGAAACTAAATGCTAAAGAAATGTTAAACAGCCATGCAATCAGAGAAGAAAAATTTATAATACGGTTGACTTGCTCAACCCTATCCACCATGTGTGAGGCTACAAGTCTTGGTGTAAGACATGAAGGGTCAGGGAGGGAACATTCTGGTTCCACGGGAAGCTGCTCAGGGGAACGTGTTCCATGGTGGGTGTGCCCAGGGTTCACTAGTGAGGCACAAGAGCAAGGGTGCCGAATCTAGAACGATGCAGAATCTCCCACAGCACAGCCTGGAAAGCACAATTAATCCTTGAGGGTAAAAAAATTACAACACAAAGAGAAATTTATACAAGTTATTAAAAAAAAGAGTATGATAAAAAGGCTAATGGTATTTTTGAGGACTAACAGCTAATTACTTCCTCACCAGCCCAGGATAGATGCAAATCACTGAGCAGTGCAATATGCTACCAAAGGATAACTTAAGCAGATGTGGAACCGAAACATGTTATGAGGACATACTTTAGTATGTAATTTGTACTTCTCATGCAAAGACATATAAAAGTGTCTTTTTAGTGATTTCTGTATGTGTTTTGATTCTGTCAATTAAAATTTATTTTTCCCCAGTAGTCCCAAATTTTCTGATCAGGGAGATTATGAGGCCACAGAGGAAAGTGACTGATGATGTACACTGTGCCCAAGGAGAGTCAGCTACAGAGAAAAAAATCCTTTCCGGCTTTCACAGAGAGCAAATTGGTCAATGGCCGTGACTCATCCAGACGGCTGACACTGACAAGAGATCTACAAGGTATTGTACATAATTTTAGGGTAAATCCTGGGGGGATTTGACTGACCTTGCCAGATACAAAAGTTACAATTTTACTTATATAGGTCTTGGTTTAACTTGGTCTTAAACATCCAGCAGAAAAGTATAACCACGAGGTAGAAAAGTAATGCCATATTAATATACTGAGCTGTATAAGGTTGGGCTGCAAAAGGCTCAAATCAACAACTTCATACAAATGCCAGTTCTGCTGATAACCCACTACTATTATGGACTATTGGACTATACTGGACTATTTTGCTGAATTCAAGTACCTACAATCTTTGAACTGGAGTCAAGTATGAAAAGGTCCTTTAAAGACTTCTCCAAATACAGCTTCTCTAACAATAACGGAACACCCATCTCTGACAAAACAAAACAAAAGAAGGGGGTATAAATGAAGGACCATTTTGTAGTGAAAAAAAGTATCTATATGTATATGCAAATAGGATAGATATATAGCTACCTTCTATGAGTTCAATAAGAAAGGTCTGTACTAATATTGTCTAGACAAGATATCATGTCTGCATCTTGTCCTCTACTACAAAGACAACAATATGCAATGTATTAATTATTGTAACTGTCCTACTAACCTATTTTGAAACTGTTTCAATGCTATTTTTTCTTATTAAAATGAATAAAAACTAAAAAAATAAAATAAATTAAAAGACAACAAAAAAACCTGAAATTCCTTGAAAGCAAGCATTAATATTCAATTATTTCCCAAATCTTGTATAACTATATCTGTTAATCTGAGCAACAGTTTAAAAATAAAAACAGATAATATAACAACCATTGTTAATTAGCTATTCCTATTTTGAAAATCTGTAACATATGAATTGTTGTAAGTTACCCTGTTTCAGTCTTTTTTCTATTTGTTTTTGCTTATGTTTTTACTCTTCGAAATAAAATACAATTAAAAAAATAAACAAAATTTATGTTTCTAAATTCTGGAAAATTCTTTCCCTCTTCAATAGAGTCCAGGAAAGGAGCTTTAAAATACAGACTTCTAGGGGCTGGTAAGATGGCTCAGTGGTCTAAAGCACCTATTTAGAACAAGTTTAGCAAAGCACGGACTGTGGTTCAATCCCCCAGCACCACATGCCAGCCAGCCCTGCCCCCTGGTGGGCTGAGCTGGACACACACACACACACACACACACACACACACACACACACAAATAAAATTAAAAAAAATACAGACTTCTAGTAAACTAGTATAACCTGCCAAATCA